ATATCGTGATAGATATCGTTATCGCCTGAAATGAAAAAACATATCGTGATATGAAAAAATGTCATATCGCCCAGCTCTACCTAGAACAGTAATCTCAAAGTAGCGATGGTGTGAAGCTCCTGAAGGCCGACTGGTTTCCACTCCTTTGCGTTCCCACACACCCACTGTTGCTTAATCACCAGTGAACAGTTGCTCCAGGATTACTGCAAACGAGTCGAGCCGGTTGCTTCTGTTTCTCTTTCGTCTTCATCACGATTTCAGAGCACAATTGTATGAAGAGAAGCCGGCCTGCGCCGCTGGCTGCTCATTTGTAGTAGGATTTCACAAATAAAGATGCTGATTAATTTTAATCTGTGGAAATATTCGCCTTAACACACCCTGACACAGTCCCAAACTAGTGCAAGGCCTGAGCAGGCTCGACCCAATCAAACCTGTGTCCTTCACAACTAATTAGAAAAGGAAGTAATGTTTTATGTTTGTCCTCTGAGTCGGCCTCCCCTCTCTGAGAGCCAAAGGCAGCAGGCAGTGCTAGTAGACCTCGCTGAGATCCCCAACCTGCTCTAACTCGCACACAGAGGCTGCTTTAACTCTGCTCAGCTTTTATGGCGATGCTTACTTGGTTAGTCATCATCTACAAACGAGGAGGTGATGCAAACGTTGGCCTTAAACCAACAATCCAGCAGTGCTTAATCTGCTTCTGCACAGTCAAGCTAACCGTCCATAAGGCCCTCATTCAAAGGGGAAACGATGCAGCTGGGTGTGTTTAGCTCATTTCTGCCAGACAAAATGGTGTGGAGTATTCAGAGAAAGTGATGGTAGGACAAAATGTAAAATAACAATTCATTCTTGGAAGCTGCGAGGAGAAAAATCCTTAAAAAATCAGAAAGAACGTTTGTGCTCATGCTGTCCTCTGCTGCTGTGTTGGTTCCTCCCTGCAGAGCCCGTCTCCAACGTGGACATCAAGTCCAACGTCCCTGATGCCATTGAATACAACAGCACTGTGATTCTTACCTGCAGCGCTATAGGCTCCTCGCTCAGCTTCAAATGGATCAACGGCAGCGCGCCCATCGTGGTCGACGGCACGCGCATCACAGAGATAAAGGTCAGTTCAACCCTGATTGTTTCTGCATTGTTTGATGTGAAACTTTGGGTCGGTGTTTCACTTCTACCTGAGTCATCCTCATTGTTTGTCTTCTGTCCTCGGGTTTGTATCGCAGACGAACTCGTCCAGCGTGCTGACCATCAAAAATGTTCTGAGGACGGACCTGGTGGGTCCGATCTACTGCACAGCATCTAACTCGCTGACAATGAAATCTACCACCACCCCTTTCAACCTCACCGTCTACTGTAAGTACTGCAGCCGGACTGCATGACACCGTTCAGAGCACAATACCAGAGGCTTTTAGTCTGGGTGTTACTCGGCAGACATGCAGCAAACGCAACAGGAAGTGTAGCAGAGAATCTGCCGAGTTTCTGCAGATGTGGAAGCACGGCTGAGGTTGCATCCTCGCAGCCGACGGCTTCAGCTGCTCAGCCCCGTCAGGTCTGTGCTCAGCTCTTAGAAAGCTGGAAGCTGGCCGTGGAAGTCAGCGAGCATTGGACGTGTAAGGAGGTGTTTTTGTCCCCAGAGGGGGAAACTGGAACTGTAATACACACCTGCTGTTCCACAAAAACTGCAGTTTTCTTGGAAAGACGTCCTCGGCTGCTGACGTGTCGTGACATGAAAGCCGTGGGCTTATTTTCCCGCTCATCTCGTGACCTCCCATCTATCACCGACCTCGCATCAAAACACAGATTAACACAAATTCTAGTTTGGCAGATTGCCACAAAAGTCCCGACTGCAGTTTTCTGAAAGATGAGCCGTCGTCATTTAACGACTGCGCGCTCATCACCGCCCTGGAGCAGATATCTAATGGCAGACTGCGTTGTGATTACAAACAGGAATTGGTTGCAAAACTGGCTTTACATTAAAAGGATATAATGCAGCAGCAGCAACATCAGTGGACTCACACAGCAGCAGCTCCTCCCTTTAGCACGAGTGAAAACACATAAAGGAGCGTTTAATGGATAAGAAGCAGGTTCCATTCCTATTTTCCTCTTTCAAAGTAATCAAAAGCACTTTGGGAACCTTCAGCCCTCAGAACTCATACTAATAATAAAACACCACATTTAAACGTATCATTTAGTACAGGGGGAGGAGCTACAGAGAACGTGCCTTACCACTGTGGAGTCCATGCAACTGTGGCTGGGAACCCCCACACATGCAACATGTTTACTAGCGGTGTCCCACTGATTAGTGCCCCACTGTAACAGTGACATGTGGAACCTTAGTATTACACAAATTCCATTTAAATAATAACAAATCAAATATATCCAGTGCTGTTTATCTCAGCTACACGTGCAAACACTCACTGCCCTCACACTTGTGTTTCCCAAAGAGCGAGCTCAGCTGTGAGGGGGACCTGCTGTTTCAGGGCTCTCTGATGCATACTCTTAATGCTGGCATGTTTCGTGACACCTGCATATTTAGCATTCCTGTACAGGTATTTCCTGTTAGCTGTGGCAGTTGGACAGTTAGCCCGGTCTTTACTCTTACATTGTTTGTAGCGTGCACCTGAATGAGCGAATGAGCTCCACACCTGCCGCACAACAAAGGTCAAACATGAGTCAGGCCCGATCGGTCCTTCACACCCCGGCATTTAAAGTCCTCAGTAAGCACAGAGGTGTCACTGCTGGGTGAGACGTGACCATTGCTACTCACACACGCAGGCATGTGTGTGTTTGTGTGTTTGCACGGCGCGCCCTCTCAGTCTGTACTAACCACACTGTGTACACACTTCCACTCCTGCATGACTAACCCGAGAGGCAGCGAAAAGCCACAGCGACCGCTGCTGAACTCTGTTATTAATTAATATGAAGCTGACGGCTTCATCGGGTCTGGAAGGAACTCCCAGTTAGCCACGGGGGCGAAATCTGTTTCTCTACAAGCCTGGAAAAGCTGTTCTTGTAGAGCTGGAATCACAACGAGCAAATATATGCTGGACTGTGTTCACTGTGGTGTTTAAAGGAGAACAATCAACCATATGGAGTTTGTTCTAAAGCAGTAGTTTGTCTCAGGCCTGGACGACTGTGCTTGATTTGTTAGCTCGTTATTCCTGCAGGTCTACAAAGCGATGAAGATGAGGTGAGGTGAGTTTTACTGGTGGGGAAAAGATAACTTCATTCATAATCTCTGAGCACTAATTATCAAACAATAAGGGAAAGTAAGTAAAAGGGAATTATTGCAGTCATTATGTATTAATGTCACATGAAAGAATGTAGTCACTGACTCCACCCATCACGTTTCTGCTGCTGCCATCTTGGCGATTAGAGCTGCTGGTTTGTCAGTCGGTTTAATGATGAAGTACAAACTGTTTACAGTCATGTTGCACTCCCCCTCTCCACAGATGGACCTGATGATGTCACCCTCACGCCTGCAAATCCACCCAAGTTCATCCAGGCTGGTTCCACGTTCAACCTGACCTGCTCGGCCAGCTCCCTGCCGCCCGCCTCCTTCACGTGGTACTATAACGGGATGAAGATCGAGACTTCCAGCTCCGTCCTCACTCTGGATATGATCAAAGGGTACACGGAGGCGGCTAACTACACCTGTCGGGCTGAAAATCCCAAGAGCAAACGCAGCGTCCCTTCCCCGGCTGTTTCCTTCACCATTATGGGTGAGTGGGGTCATTGTAGAGTTACTACAAGTCCAGGAGGAAGTCTGGCTGTGATTATCTGCACAATGTTATGTTTTATATATATATATATATATATATATATCAATCAATCACATAGTTAGTGGTGTCTGTCAGGTTGGCATTCATATGTAGCACAGAGTTTATTGAGTATCCAGGAACATAAAAGCCAGTCAGGCAGACTGAAGGACTCCTGCTCTTTTCTCTGTCCGAGGCTTTTAAAGGATGAGTCATAATAAGTGCTCGTGACCTTCGTCACAGTTTTCACCTGTGAGGTGTTGAAACGTTGTGCTAACAGAAAATGTGAGTCGTCTGTCATTACAGCCCAGGACTCGTTTTCTTCATGTTTTTCAAAGATGTTGTTTTCAAGCTGGCTGTGCTGTGGGGCTGGCAGACCTGTGAGAAACCTGCTGGGTTGGAGGCCGGTTTCATGTTTGTGCCCTGAGGAGTTTCTCTTTGTCTTTGTTGATGACGGAGGGTTCTCGCGGGCTGAAACGATAAACTGTAGCCTAAAGCGTAAAAATCACAAACGTTATAGCAGCTGCTAGGCCATGCTTGTGTTATTCAATTATGAATCTAATGATTTTAATCAGAAATGCTTTAGTGAATTAAAAATGGACATCATTGATTATAAGCCTTCAAATCATAGACAAGCCCCCAAATGATCATAAAATGACTCAAGATTACTGAGACGATGAAACTAACATAACAGAAACACCTGAGAGGGCTGATGGCAGGCCGATGGAAAAGAGGCGGAGCCTGTTGGTGCTCTTATCAGTGGAAAGCAAACGGTAAAGAGAGCCTGAACTACAAGAGAGAGAATGAAAGGTTAGCCCCGTTCTTCTCCCTCAGTTGGATGTTTCTTCTTCCCTTACTTTGGGATCATGTCAGTTTGAGTACACGGAGTTTAAAGTTTTAGAATTCCTACAATTCCTAATGCTCATTTTTAATAGCTTTAAATGTCCGAGTTAAGGATTCAAGCATCAGGTTTCTTAGTTTTTCGATGCCTCCAACCTCCACAGGGGTCACGATGCTCACAAAACAGACTTTAATTGGCTGCCGCAGCTGTCGTGTACCGCCCAATCACAGGACAACCTACCTGGAGGTGTGGAGTGAGAACGTGTTTGTTTAGCAGGCGACGTGGCTCTAATCAGAAACCCTGTGCAGTTGCATTGTGGGACGTGTTGGATCCAGCTTGCCGCTCACTGGTTCATGAGGTTTTGGCATTCGGCGTCTTTTGTTTTTGAAATCAGACGTTACTAAGACACGGAGGCAAAGGCATGCTCACGCTGTTGCAGCATGTCAGTCAAAGGCCTGCCACGCCCTGACTCTATTGTCTGTTTCTGCTGAAGGAGACCGTAAGTTAGAAAATGAACATCATGTTGTTACCGGTAAGACTTCAAACTCGCTCCTAAGACAGAAGCATCTCAGGAATTTGCTCTGCCGAGGTTGTAAATCAGGCGCAGAGTGGGGTCATTTTCTCAGACATGCTCACACCTGGACTATCCTGACTGTATTTACAGTCCTTACTGCACTTCTTTATGTATCTTTAATAATTGATGTAATATGTGCCAGAAAATAGAATGATCACAATAAAATCAGAATAATAAACACAGGAAGACCGTTATCATCCTTGTGTCTCCCTTTAATTTTCCTAGAGGGAATCTCGAGTGTTGAAATCATCGGTCCGACTGGTGTCCTCATCGCCAGCAACAGCACGGCAAACCTCAGCTGCCAGGCGACGGGGGGCACTGTGGGGAAGGTAGACTGGCTGAAAGATGGTAAACCTCTTGGGCCTTCCAGCCCTCGTGTGGTTTTTGCCGCTGATGAAAGTTCTGTACTGATCAGCCCGCTGCAGAAGGACGACAACGGAAGGTTCACCTGTCGGGTCAGCAACGCCGTCAGCAGCAAAGAAGCCCACTACAACATGCAGGTCGTCTGTAAGTGTTTGCTTTGCTGAGATACTCGAACATGTGTGTGGGGCTGTATGCATTCATGTGCCTGTGTTTGACACAGTGTCAGTCAGACAGTAGAGGTCCTGCACACGCCTCACTCGCTGTCCCATCCACAGCAGGTATAAATATGAGACAGTAAGCTCAGCTCCAGCAACAAAGACGTGCCATTTTTAAATTCACTGTCGTTATTTCCAAAGAATATCGTGATGTAATACCTTGGACTGTGTTCTTTCACTATCCGGTGCTTAATTTAAGAGTCTTCTGTCAGTAACCTCCCAGTTTCTGTGTATCGAGAGCATATGTTTCCAATCAGGTAGTACCACCTTTAATTACACCTGCAAAAGGCTTTTTACATGAGCCAACTGAAAAATGTCCCTGAATCAGAAGTGAGGTTTGCTCATAACCAATGTTCCCTCTAAGCTGCGCGCGTGCGCAATTGCCTCCGCACAGAAAATCTGCACTGCGCACAAAAAAAGCTAACCTGAATTGAAAATTAACATTAAAACTTTAACAATTCAGTTCTGCAGTGTTAGTCAGTGACTGGCTGCTCCCGTATGGGATCAGAACGATGCCACCTTATCCCACAGTCCAGCCAATGATGCGATTCACATTCGTATATACGCAGCTAATCAACGTCGTCGACAGGCTATGACAGCGTCCTTATGTGCCGGTGTTTTAGCAAAGCGGCTGATGTGGAGTGAAGCCACGTTAATGACAACGTGTACAACCATTGGAGATGTGAGCAGGACAGACGGAACAACTGACGGACAAAGTGTGGACTTTATACCAGTTTTTAAATTGTGTTGATCGGCCACGTAAAACCAGAGTTATGATAAAATATCTGCAATGTTTGTTTTTCTTCCTGAATACTGTCGTTGTTTATTTACTGCGGGAAGAAACGGTTCCCGGTTACAGGTGTTACAGCAGTGACACATCTGCTGCTGTCAGGCCTGCAGGTATCAGGCTGTTGTTCTCCTTCATCTCATAGTGGACAGGAATTATTTTTGGAGTGACACAAATAATTTGTGTGGCATCAGATTTGATGCAGAACAGCTGATTGTTCTGTAAATAGTTTGAAATGTTTATTTAAAAACACCTTGGCTGCGTTTTTAGGTAAACAGCTGCAAAAACTCAGTAACTTTTTTGAAGAAGTAACTATATAATTAATTGCCCAGCATTGGTCATTATTTACTGTATTTGCAGACAGAGTTACAGACTCTCTCCCAGACCACAGACTCATCATACAGTCAGAGCTTTATAAATAAAGAAAGTTGTGTTTTCAAAATTGGAGTTGAAGTTATTTTTCCTTCCAGTAGTGTTAACATGCTGCAGGTCAGTGACTACATTTTTGTTTTACATTTTCATTGTCAGTGGGCTGAAGCAGTTAATTAAAAGTCGTCTAACAGAAATGTAAATGCTGTGATTTGATTATTTTAATAAACATGTGACTTGGATGGATTCGATGCTGGCGTGACCACAGTGCTCACGTCTGCTGTTGCTCACAGTGGTACTGCTCAGGGAGTTTGTGTGTTCGCTCAGACATGAAACATTAGAGGGAACGTTGCTCATAACTGAAGTTTACGGCATTTGGATCGTTTTTAACCTCAGGTTCTCTGTTTTTGTGTCGCCTACTTTCTGATCCTGTTACACTACACAGCTACTGAGGTCACACATCCTGGTTTTAAGTAGAAACATCAGAGTCCACACAACAGTTTCCTTTTTCACTACCAGGGCGTAATATTTCATGGATGGATGGTTACGCTCTGTCAGCTGTCAGCTGATGGTCATCAGTAAAGAGTCAGAGTAACGACCGACGTGCTAATAATTAAGTTCGCTGTAAAGACAAGTTCGTGATTATGAATCGTGGAGAAAAATAACTTATCTTGGGTTTTACTTCTGTCATATCCAGGCTCTTATTTTGACACATTTTTCACCTAAATCCAAACGATAAACCGGCTGGTGTTGTCATGTTGTGTCCAGATGGTCCTGAACAACCGACTATAACGGCTAGGAAAGCCGTGGAAGTCAATCAGCAAGTGGAGCTCACCTGCTCCGCTGCATCTGTTCCTCCTGCCAGCTACACCTGGAAGTTAAACGGCACTGCAACTACAACCACAGCGGCGGTGTTCATTATTGCAAGTGCAGCATACAAAGACGCTGGAACGTACACATGTGAGGCACACAACATCATCACCAGCAAGACCACCTCCACCAGCCACAACCTGTCTGTCCAAGGTGAGCGCCGTCATGCAGCCCAGACTGATCATTCAATGAATATACAGACTTCACTGCCTCAGCGCTGCACAGCCTGCAGGGACAGCCTGAAGTTTTGCACTCCTCTTAAATTCTTACAGGCGTGAACGTTTATGTTTGTATATTTGTTTTTTCAACCAATGAGGAAGCACCAGGTCAGAGTTTACTGCCGGCACGTGACGTCCACGTCTGTTTGAAGCTCTGACATCATCTCAGAGCTTCAAAGAAACCCAACCAGTTCATGTCGTTTGCATGTGGCATGAACCCAAGTTTAAGTTTTAATGCTGGCAAAGTATGGCAAGTGCAACTCTTCAGGTCATTACAGACGCCTAAAAGCGTCGACCAAGTTCTTCTACGTAAGGCCAGCTGTATTTTAATCATCACTAATTATTGTTGTTAGATATAATTCAGGATTTACGTGTTCGAGCTTAATATGCTCAAACAAAATAAACAGGTTTTCCTTCATTTTCTAAAAGACGTGATCATTAAGGTACATAATGTGTGACTCACATTTTCAGGTTGTGAGAAAACAAAACTGCACCCTGAGTAAAGCTTGTAGGCAAAGTTGGGAACTACAGATGCACAATAAGCTAATGTTAGGCGATGTTAAGCTAATGCTAGCTTCAGCTGAGGGTGACACAGTCCGGCTTCGACTAGTCGAGGATTTTTGTGCAGAAAAGTCTTCTTCCTGTCTTTGCCTTTCACAATAATATATATATATACTCTACGTCAAAGCGGTGTACAGCAGATTAAAAAATATTCCTAGTTGCATATTTCCTTAGCATATAAACGTCATAATCCACAAACAAAAAATACCAAAATAACATCGCGTCCCGTTACTATGAAAAAGAACTGAATCAGCTTCATTGTTTATTTGTGAGTAATCTAACGGAGTGACACGGACAGGCCAGTGTGACTAACGAGGTGACGCCACCCTGAACCAACCGAACATTATCAGACTGTTTTTAAACTCGTCCTGTTTTCTTCTTCTCTAGTCTCACTTTCAGTCTTGCCAGCTAGCAGCGGGGAGGTGTGGCGGTGCGCCGCTTGTTTACTGTTATGTTGGAATGAGGTCTGCGTTTCCGCCTTTATCTTCTGTCCCGTACATTAATCAGAGTTAGAGATCACAGTCACACTGAGTCAAACATACTTAAACACACAGTCACAGAGAATGTCCATACTAAACTACCAATGACTGTCTTTACAGGGGAGGGAACGCTGGACGGTCTCTCAGATGGAGCCATTGCTGGAATCGTCATCGCTGTCATCATTGCTGTGGCCCTTGTTGTCGTAGGCGTCTGGTGTTACTGCCGACAGAAAGTCCCGTAAGTACTCCTGCTTCCTGATATCTAAAAGGGGCATGCAGGGGGGCACGTCGGTCAGCCAATGGGATGAGGCGTTGGAGCGGCTGAGTCGGAGAGGCACCTTGCTTCGAGGCTGAACCAACCAAACCAACAAAACAGGTCTCACTGTGGCTGAAAATGATAGTAACGTTGGCCTCAAACTGTTTGAACCAGACTGTTTACTCGAGGGTAGTTTCCTGATTTGAACTGGCTGACGAGATATGACTGAGATACTGTTGTTCCTCAACAAACGGGGAAAAACACTTTGTGTGGAGCTGGAAACAGAAAGAAATATCTGTGAGATTCACCACCCGTGGACCCAAAGCAGCTGACAGCTTAAAGCAGTGAAAGAGTGTTTGTGTCGTTCATGGTGACAGTAGCTCATGAGATGTTCTGTTTGCACGGCCGTTGTTTCTTTAGAGCCACAGCAGCGCTCTAATGCGTTGTAACGTGGAGAAGCTGGGTGATCACACCGAGTCAGTCTCCAGAGACTCCAGATTCAGAGTCAGCTGCTTATTTTGATTTTTCCCATCAGAGTGCTTCAAAAGTCCAAACAGCGTGAGGAACGTTACTCCCCCGCTCCGTGCTTTTCTCCGCTGTGTCTCCCACTCCATGACCTCCCAGGAAACTTCATTCCTCTCATGCCTCGGCGTATTGAAACATGTTCCCAGATGTACCCTACTCAGATATTAAAGAGCCGCCGCGCCCTTCGGCACCATTTCAAAAGTAACTGTCACCTTTGCACAAGCCGGCCGCAGCCGCTGTTTCTTAGACGACAGTTTGGGAGCAGCACCTCCACTGGTAAGATGGAGGTAAAGACTAGAAAGAACATTAGAGTTCTGCAGCACGGTCGTATCTTTAGGAACACTTTATGACAGACTATCATCGGGGAAACGCTTCCCTGTTGCAAACAATCAGGTCTGCAGACACAAATATGTTAAACGGTGCTACAGTCGAAGTCACGGCACGCTCTTCCAAAGCAGAGCGAGTGATGCAATCGCATCGCATTTTGACACACAGCAGGAAGCTGCGCTGCTGAAACAAAGAACAGTCTGATGAGTCACAGACGCAGCCTCCAGCATGCACACACTCACATTACTCACTGCAGCCAAACCAAGCAACGCAACACAGGAAGTTACCTTTGGAAATGTGTGTGTGTGTGTGTGTGGGGGGGGGTACCTGAAGTTCCAAGGAAGTGAATGAATGAACAGGTATGAAGTGTGTCTGCAGGAATCTCACAAACACGAAAGCAGCAGAATTACCTGGTGGGGGACGTTGTTCTCATCCACCTGCAGGCGGCTGGAAGCCCGTTTGTCTCTGCGGACGCGAGCACAGTCTTCTTAACAGACCGCTGTCATGTGACGGGACCTCTTGATGTCTCGGGTAAAGGACTGACCCCTCCGATGTGGGGACAGGAGGCCTTTGTCCTGTTTTGACTTCCTGTGACGGTGGAGATGTGGATGGATGATTGTCATCCTGGAGCTGGTCACCTTTGTTAGCTCTGCCCTGGTGAAAGAGGCGGAGACGTAAATGAAATGTTAAATATTTAAAGAGGTGATTTCCTGGAAAGGAAAAGCAGTTTTCACGGCGTTTCGTTCTTTAGGAATAAATGTAACAGCAACAAGGTTTTCTCTGAAAGGAATCTGTATTACTATTTCCTCCTACTGATTGGTCAGTGGGAGTCGGTAGCAGGATCTGGGCATGCTCTGATGAGCTTTCTCTTCCATGCTGTGTGACACCCCGATGGACATGTTGACCTGGTTAAAGAGGGTTCATGGTAGAGCGTCTCTATAGGCTCCGGGGCCACCGAGCCGGGCAGGTGGGAGCCCGGAGCTGTAGGTGGGACTGTAGCGGTCGGTCAGTGGAAAACAAGAAAGACAGGAAGTAACCGTACGTTCAGACAAACACAGCTATCACACACAGGCATCTTAAACACACACACCCAGAGCGAGCGAGAGATGGAGCGAGGCAGTGACAGCAGATAAAGACTGGCGATGACAGACGAGTGTGCAAACTCACAAACATGCTGCTGTTTGTGCGCTGCACAGTGTGAGTTTGTTGTACACGTAGTCTCACAGTAATGTTACACTAAGGTACGAGAGTGAAACACAGGTCCTCGAAACATCTCAGTTTTTCCTGCTCCAGGCTCTGGATGATGTCATGGAGAGCTGATATGCCAAATATGGTAATCTCATGAAAACAGCTCTGACTGTGAGCTCAGAAGCCCCGCCCCCACCCCACCTGCAGAACAAGATTGGTCTGAGCTGTGAATCCAGGAATAAACACGAGGAAATGAGCAGAACAGGTCGAGCATCAGTGATGTGTGCTTTTATTTGTCAGTTCTTGTCACAGTCTGGGGACTACATTACCCACAGTGCAACTTCTAGCACAGACTTTGCACAAAGATGGAAATGTTTGCTGTGAAGTAAAACCATTTTTTGGGAAAGTCCAGTTTTGTAGTCTCAGTCAAGAGATGGAGCTGAGGGTGGAGCTGAGGGTGGAGCTGAGGCTAGCCCTGGGTGCAGCTCTGTCAGCCATGACTCAAAGCATGTATGATCAGGACTGGACGACGCAGAGGCTGAAGTCCTGCAGTTGCAGCGCTGACGTTCAGGGTGGCGAGAACACGAGGAACAGCTCAGCGTTCACTTCTGCTTCTAGGTCATGTTAGAGTGGCACCACCCACACACACCACCCATCATCCTGCCACTCTGCGGAGGGAGGCCGGTGGTGTTTTGGATGAAAACGTCCCACACTGAGGACAAATGTCAAACGACAAACCTCGTTGTGTCGGAGACCAGAAACCCGTCCATCTCTGCCCAGGGTGGCCTTGAGGTGCAGTCGCTGCAACGCTGAGGAAACCCCGTCTTTCACATGAAACCCGGAGTTCCCCGTGTGAGAGCAGGCGTGGATAGACCTGACAGTGGGGAACACCGGGAGTGCTCTGACCGGTCGGCCCTGCAGGCTCAGACAGTGAGCCGATGTTCCCGCAGAGCCTGACTGACTCCAAATCCAGCCTGTAATTAAGCATTTCTCTGTGGTTATTTTGCAGCGCCATGAATCGTCTCTGCAGATAAAAGCGCGACTTTCCGATAATTACAGGTGGCAGCTGAGATGCAGTTTGGTGACACGAAGGATTCCCTCAGAGCTTCATCACTGTTATTCACGCTCTGAGCTCAGATTGAAAAGAAGATGCGGACGGCTTTAAAAGAAGAAGGTTCACATCAAACATTTAGACATCCTTTCATTGGCTGAGGAGTTGACGGCCACTCCAATCGGGGGCTTGATACAAAGCGAGTGATGGCTGCAGCGCGGTGGGAGGTAGCAGCTTTCAAACGCAGTGGTTTTAAAATTCCTCACCTCTGAATGAATCTCGGGAGCTGCTCGTGCCCAGCGGGGCGGGGCCTGTGCCAGGGGAATGGCAGGAATGTCGCTGTCATGTCTGCACACGTCTTCTGTGTGTTTGTGTCGCCGCTCGTCTCTCCCATCACCCTGCAGTTCAAAGGCTTCTGCACGCTGCCCACCCCCTTCCTGTTTCCCTGAGGTCGTCCATCAGCGCTGAGCTGCGTGTGTGCGGCTTGTTCTCCCAAGCGAGCGGTGCTGAGAGGCTGAAAGAGGAAGGAGGAACTCGTCTGTAGATCCCAGAGAGACGGAGCCTCGTCTCGTTCCTGCTGCAGGTGTTACTCACAGCTGAACACAGAAATCATCTTCTGTGTGAGCAACGCTGAACCTTTAAACAGGATTTCATTACATGTATGTTATTTAATAATCTCTTTTCTTTTGGGGAAAACGAGCATCGAGTAGTAAGTCCACTAACGTCGGTGCGTGACCTCTGACCTGTGAGCTCATCGCTGTCCCTGACTGTTTGAAACAGCCAGTTTTCAGCAGGCAGCGAGTTCTTTGAAGGCCGATGTTTGGGCTGCTCTTATCAGCAGACGCAGACGAATGTATCCGAGTTTCTGTGATAAGATTCAGCGATTGAACCAAAAAGTATTTTCTTTGATGTTTACTCCGAGAAATCTCGACTCCCTGAGTACTCCTGAGGTCGCATGACTGTTACTGATGTTTTCCAAGGACACCGTGGGAGTGGGGTGTGTGGGTCAGTGAGATCTGATAGCAGGATGGGCTCATACTGCAGCCGCTGTGTGTGAGTCACTCAGCAGTCTGTTTCTCTTGCGTTGGCCTGAGATGAACGAATCTTTATCGAGACTGAGTCAGAATCACAGCAGCCATTAAAGCGCGTCAGGCGTAATGACGGCTGCTGCTCTGCAGGTAGAGAAGCAGGCGAGCCATCGACGCCGTGATGCGAGTGTTGAGGAGGCACGAACGCCGGGGTTGTAACATTAGCAGCAGTGCGCTCTCTGACCTTTCACCTTTCTAACCTCTAAACAGAAACTGTGCTAGCAGCTGGTGGAGACTGCAGCTGGGTCGTGTTACACGTTATCATGTTTGAACATCTCATGCTGAACGTTTTCAGCTGACAGCTCGGTTTGTTTGAAGGTCACGGCTCCTCGCCGTCAGCGCGCTGCTGCAGAGACACGTCGTCAGTGCTAATCACTGTTTTCTGTTTCTTTATGTTTTTCAGTACGTCCTCGCCGTACTAAAGAAGACGTCCTGATTGCTGCCGGTAAGTCTGATCTGTGGGTGACGTAATGCACACTCAGCTGTGTGTTTGAGAGCAGCTGCTGTGGACACAAGAAGAGACACTGACACATTTTTGCAGTGTGACATCAGCAGGAGCGTCCAGGTGACGGTCTGAGTGGGAGCTCCTCCTGCTGCGTGTGTGTGTGTGTGTGTGTGTGCCGTGGGGATTCGTTTCTCACACCTGAACAGAGGAAAATTGGACAGATCCCCAATTTTAGGACCAGTCAAACATTTCTAGGCGGATAAACCGTCATGATGTCATGCTGCTGAGCACGCTTTGACTGCAGCACGCTACGTTACCAGCTGATGCTGACTAAGGCAGCGTAGCTGCTAATCAGTGCTGAGAACCAGCCTGATAACATCCTCAGTGCTGACACGGCCATCCTTTATGTACAGTCTGTAGCCTGACGCTGTGTTCTATTGGCTGCTCGCTGCTGATGCAGCAGATCCCACGGCCGTCCCCACGGCTCGAGCTAACACAGCCCCGTGTGTGTGTTTGTGTGTCTGTGTGTGTGGATGATGCACCCGTGGTGTTGATGACGTGTATTCCTCCTGAAGGAAATGTGTGAGATGATCGGTCTGCTCACCAAAATAAAAGCACTCACAGGAAACTGTTAAAATCACCAGTTTAATCAAAAAGCAGAACAAATAAGAAAACAGAGAAATGGAGAGCAGCACCGCTGAGCTCAGCTGTGATTGGAGGCTGACCGCTGTTCAAAACAGGAAATGAAGATGTAATATTATTATTATTATTATTATTGCACGGTGAGTGAATCCCCACAGTCACATGACCCCCTGTGTGGAGGATGTCAGTGAACTCCATTTTAACAGGAAGTGACCTGTTGTACTTGTGTCTGCTAGTTCAGCTCCTCATGCTAACAGGCTTCCATGTTTGTCTTTGAATTTGAAGGCTGGAGATCAGAATTCCTGCTAACGCCATCTTCTCTTTCTCTGCGCAGGCCTACAGTTCCCATAATTGTATTTCCCATGATTCACCTGTGCAGCCCGGAGGAACAGCCAGACGGATCCAGCTGGTTTCCTGCGAAGCCTCGTCCCTCTGTCCCTCTGTCTGCCGTCTGTCTCAGCGGAAACACCATTTAACCCAAACCATGGATTTAATCAGGGCTCAAGTTGCTTTTTATTTCACTTCTCTTACATTTTTGGAGCTTTTTATTTTTACCTCCACGTTCCTGTATCACTGGATCCTCCTCTCTTCTTCTTCTTCTTCTTCTCTCGCTGTTAACAAACTTTATTCTTTGTCTCACCGCCGCCTCCTCTGCAAAACTCACAACACCGAGAAACTGAGACTGAGACGCTTCCTGAGCTGAAGCTGACGCACTGACAGCTACAATGAGTGACTCTCTTTATCCTGCTGAAACCTGAGGAGCGCACACGCACGCACACAGACACACACACACACACACATGCACACACACAGCTGTGATGCCTGGCTGATCACAAACACAAAGGAGGCCACACATGTAGAAGTTTCCAGGGTTAAAATAATGCTGCGGTTTGGTTTATCTCTTGGTCTGTACCGGGTGGGCGGGGCCTGTGTGATGGGGGACATTTCAAATGCAGCAGAGCATTTTAAAGTAAAGGTTTAGAGGCTTCCCTGGAAGCTTCGTGGGATCCCACATACCTCAGTTTATCCTGGCAGTGTTTATTTTTAGCATTTATAACGTTCCTGGTCCAGCCATCATCCACCGCGGGCATTCAGATAAAACATGGAACGATGTTTACTCAGGCTGCTCCATTTTGAAATCGCCAACAGTCCGATCAGACGGTCCCCATCAAAGGTGTGCACACGATCCACGAGTGAAAGCGTCTGCGCTCAGTCCTGCATCGCGCAGGCTGCGATCGGCGCTTCTCCTGATAAACAGCATCGCACGGCCTGCTGTTTCTAATATTTTGTCCGTCCCACTCACATGAGAGAAAGAGCACCTGGTGTAAAGCAGGAGCTCAGCCCCATCTGAGCGCGCTCACTTTTACTCTGATTACCTGCAGTAACTGGAAGCTCAGTCTGTGATTAATGAGGGGTGCTGTCAGCCCACCAATCAGAGAGCAGGTCTCTCCCTGAAAGCACTAACAGGGAAACACATGAATGCTGTAACACACACACACACACACACACACACACACACACACACGGGTACAGTGCAGGGGTCCCTCCATAACCCCGGCTGCCTCCCTCCTGCAGCTTTACCTTCAGGCTGTCGCAGCGCTGCGTTAAAGTGCTGCTGCAGTGTTTAGTGGAAGTGCGCGCACACAAACAAAGGGAGGAAACTTTGAGGAGGGCAAGATTCAACACGCAGGGACGAGGTGACGGGAAAACGGGGCTTAAAGAGTTGGGGGGAGGGGGGGGTGTTTGTGGGCGGGGACATTCTTTGACTTTTGGAGGGAAGGTTTGGTGAGGTTCGAGGAGGTGCTGACATTCTTAACCACGATTGGACAGAAGCTGTTTTAAATGATTCACAGCTGTGCGCACACTCACGCCGCGCCCTGTTTTATTTGAAGTTCAGCTTCCAGGCAGCCGTTTGAGTATTCTGAGTCCTGCGCTCTGAGCTGATCCACCAGTTTGGTTTGTCTGGTGTGTGAGTGCGTGCACTGATCTCCAGTAAGAAGAGTATTTATTTAGTTTACTTTATTAAAAAAGGAAAAACTTGGTAACTGGAGCTGAAGATCATAGCAGGTCTGCAGATCACACAATCAGAAGCTTTTTGGTAGTTTAAGTTTGTGTGTTTTCACAAAGCCGCCGTGACCTCGTCCTCTGATTCTGGGCTCATCGTGAAGCCTCGGCACCATTTGAGCTTTTTCAGAGACAGACGTGACCTCGTTCAGACCGCAGGGTTATCAGCTGATATCAATCCGCATAGCAAGGCCATGTGATTGGATAACGGAATAAAAATGAATGCAGGGGTCCGGTCCTAGCAGCCACGCCCCCAATCATGGGAATGGTGACATGTAATCATCCAAAGATTATGTGTCAGCGTTGGAAACATCATTATTATCAAGTTTTAATGGGAGTCTATGGGGCTGACTCTCTGCTGGACCCCTGCTGGCTGTTAGAGGAACTGCTGTGTCGGTTTTTATCTGGATCTCTGTAGCTGAGTTTCTGAAAGCCATAAACATCTCTCACCGTCTCCGGTTTGGGAAAACACACAAACAGAATGTATTAAAACCAAGATGTGAGTCCTCTGTTGTCTGAAACACGAGACGCGTGTCTTTGAATACAACACGAGCAGCCGTGGAAACTGGCCTCGCTGTAAATACATGATGATGTTCTACACTGTAAACTGTTTGTGTGACATGTTTTTTTTAAATTTTATATATATATATATATATGTGTGTGTGTGGGGGGTTTATGATTCTGTTTTTAATGTTTACAAAAACTCTCTGTATGAAATAACATTTGTATAAATACTAAAATACTAAATGAGAAAATAAATGAAAATCATGTTTTTGAAAAGCCATAAAAATTGTCAAAATATTTTCCTAACTTCTTCCCGTTTCTTGTGTTTCCTTTTACTATGAGGCTTTTTTTGAACAACCAATCAAAGTCTGGATGTGTTCA